TTAACTGTAAAAATTTCAAAAGGTGAAGCTGACCTCAATATTGCACAGGACATCGTTAAAGAAGACATAAGCATGACAAAAACGTGTCATGTTTACATTTCTCGAGTACGGGAAAAACCAACTATGACGTCACACGTAAGCTGAATAAGCAAAATTAGATATACCTACATGAGATTTCCGTCATCAGCCATGCAAAAATATTTTTTGTGTTCCCCGTTTCTCAAAATATTTCATCATATACCGATTATGATTATTTTTACATAATAATACCGCCCCTGTGTTCACCGAGTATGATCTTGCTGTACTAACAGATCGTGTATGACGTCACCGACGTGTTGGATGTGCAGTTTAAAGAAACAGAGGAGTGGATCAAACAATTTCATAATTTGTTAATGTTTACAAGAATGTTATTAATTTTTTATTATTTTTCTATATAGGTTGGTAATTAAAGTAAAAACAAATTGTCAAAGATTATACAAGAACTTATGGTTTACACGTTTTGCACTTATATAAACAGAGACTATGACGTAGTTTAACAGTCATGTGACCATGTGTCCTTCATCCCCTTAAATTGTAAGTTTTAGGTTGATCACTTTAACCTTTATCGTGTTTTACCAAATAAATGTAATCTTATTTCATGTAAAACATTTGAATAATATTGATTAGTGAAAAATCCTGAAAATTGATGCGCATAAAGAACATGTATTTTGTGACCTCTTTGCAATGAATGATTAAATTTTAAGATATCTAAAATCTGAAAAGGCAATAAAAATGTTTTCGTATATCAGGCTTTTTACATGTATGAATTGAGTGCTGATCGGTTGAAAGGATTGTAGTAATTTAAGATAATGAAAAAAAAAGATAGGGCAAGTGGTGTAGATAGTGTTTGTTGTTAAACATCCCTCAGGGGAATTTTATGGAGATTCCATCGCTTTCCGGTGGAGGGCTGCAAATATAGACTTATACTCTGAGCCCAAGGCCATTGAGCAATTGGGAATCTTTTTCGTGCCAGCACCTACTGCGACACGGGACTTTGATTTATACGCTAACATCCTAAGGAACGGTCTCCACATCCCGCATTAAGATTCGAACCCTCTGCATAAGGATTAATTCCTTACACCGCGACTCTAGAATATACGCTCTAAACAACATTTTTAGATATATGTCAAAATAAGCGCTTTTTCAGACTTAAAGCATTGTAAATTTTATTTTGACTTCTTAAATATATCTTCATTTTTTTGCATTCTGAAATTGGTTTGAGACATGAAAGACAAAATATGGCCCAAAAATGCGTATTAATAAGAAAGGTCATTATAAGGACCATAAAATTTTCAAAGAAGTTAAATTTAAGAGTTGGTTTTAAATTCCTTATAACATCACATTATTTTTCAATAACTTGCATCGGTATAAAATTGATTGTACTCAAAGCATTCTCTTGTACATCAAATCAATTTGAAGACATGAACGTAATGTAGGATTTTTACAACAACAAAAAAATAGGAAAAAAAATGTCGATGGAAAATCTGATGTCATGCTGTTTGTCAAAAAGTTTAGTTATTAGTTGACCATTACCGCCTATAGCCAGTAAAACATCCATATATGAAAGGATTTCTTTTCTTTCTAGTTCAAAGAAAGATACTCCAGTAATTTTAGATTCACTTCAGGGTACTTGTGCAAAGAATTCGTTTGATTTTAACGAATCATTTTTTTTTTTCATTTAACTAATAAAAGGATATGAAAATTTCCGAAATTCATTTTCAATTGAAGGGACGCTTGCTTCAGTCTAATCAAAATCAGACTTCTTTGATTCGCGCCATTTACACTCTACGACGTCTTATTTTAAATGGCCGTTCGTTTCGAGTTAGGGAGACCCGGGGTCTATTGTCGCGCCACGTCAAATCTAGAACATAAACATAGGTAGTCAAGCGCCAAGCGACCGGAATTAGAAGTAAAAGTCGAGGGTCGTTCGTCGGAGATCTTCAAAACCCAGGTTCTGTATCATGATAGGCGTTGGTACGATAAAGAGCCCACACTGCTGAATGGCCTGAATGCTGTGTTCAGATCTAAATTGGAAGCCCTTAACCGGCATAAGGTGACATCTCTATATGAGAGGAAATAATTCTCTAACAGGACAATAAACCTCATACATACATACATACTTATTTTAAATAGTGTCCACTTGTGTATGATGTCAAAAGTCTGGTCTTATTTTGGCAGAAAGTGAAGAAAAACACGTTTTTTTATGTTTTTGCTTTTAAAGGGAAAAAAGCTTTCGTGATTTTGCATTTTCTAAAACTCCTTAGGAGTTTTTGAGAATAAATTTATTATTTAAACCAGCCCTTGGTATTATATGTTTAAACAAAAGTTTTGGAGTTTTTCCTTCATAGTCAGTTACTATTTTTTCATTGCAAGTTAAGATTCTGGTTCAAATAACACGTATATTTTAATTTAGCAAATGCTGACTGACGTTTTTCATACTAATTGTTAGGCCATTATTTACACACTGAATTGTCGACGGATTTTCCGTTATTTCCCGATCATGACAAGGAGCACACGGCTGGTGTGAGCGGTCGGCAGGGGATGCTCACTCCTCCATGGCACCTGATCCCACCTCTGATGTTTGGAGGTCCGTGTTTGCTCTGCTCCTATTTTGTATTGTTTAATGGACTTTTGAGCTTGAATGCTGTTCGTTATCTCCATATATTTCATCTAATACCGTACATTAACATATAATAATATTATATATGATCAGATTGCAAATTTCAAAAGGTAAGCTTACATTTCTTATAATAGTCCAGTAATCGTCAAAATATTGTATACAGTTTCTGAAACTGTTTTTGAAATATCAATAATATTCTTTTAATATTAATATACTCATATAATACAGTACCTTTTACATACATATCTATGCTAATTACGCCTGTGTTGTTACGAAGGGGTGCTTACGATTATGAACATTGCCATTGTCAAAGGGTTTATCAATTCATAATTATATTTATTCAATTCCAATAAATTTTACATATTTTGAAGGCCGTTTCTTCAATCAGCGAATCTTGATTCTTTTAATCTGTAAATGAAATCAATAAAACATTTAGTAATATTGGTATATATTGTACTAGATTAAAAGATAAAATATTTGCAAGCTGAAATAATCTAAGCTGTAAAACTTTAGCTCACCGAATATACAATACGGACAGACTGGAGAGTTACAATGCCACACGTAGGAAAAAAAAACTTATATTTAATGTATACAAATGGTTCTGGATTTATTTGTAAAAAAAAATTCTTTAGATCTCTATCAATTTGTTTATAGTGATCATCTGTACAAAGTGCGTTAGACCGAATTGTCTTTTTTAGGTTTCAATTTCCGACTCACCAACGTTTATGGGGAAAGTTTTCTTTTGTGGATATAGTACAAGTACAAGATTATGTCAGGAATACACAGTTAGTATTATTTTTAGTTGACAGTTGAAATATACGGAAAAATGAATCCAGAAATTCGCAAATTCTTGTGGGCAATAAATATTCAATAGCTGGCACTTTTGCTCTCCGATCTGTATTTTTTTTTTTCAGAGGGCTACAGATCTACAGAAAAGTAAACTTGGAGCCATTAAAGGAAGGATAATTTAATTTGAACAAAACAATAAAATTCATCCTAAAGTTTTCAAAGAAAAACAAAATGAATACATTACATGTTATTAAAAATCAAAGTACTACTTTTGATACAACTACTTCCGGTAATATCAACTTTTTCATTTTTTTTCTTTAACATTATGAATGTGGAATCTCAATTAAATGACAAAAGTGAATTCAATTAGTCAATGGCATCAATTTTAACGGTTTCCTGCAATCACCAATCGATTTCATCTATATAGTTAATAGTTTGCATTTTTTTTAAACATCACAGAGGGCATTCTGGCGTATTTTAATGTCTTTTCTAAAGTTAATTCTTCAAAAACACCAGAGAAATCCTTGTATTGTCTGTTCAAACGCTTATTTCTACTCTACACTGTAGAGATTGTTATTGAGTTTATGTCTGATTTATGTCTGATTTACATTTTCCTTTTATCGAAAAGTTTACTGGAATCGATGTGTATAAATTTTCTTGCATTTCCTATTACCTCATGTTTTTGTTATCAATGTGTACAATTTTTTGTGTTACTTACATTTCCTTATAGCACACCGCTGAAGACATTCGTGTATCGTTTGAAAATTGTTGTCGTTTCCTTCACAGCCGCCATAAATGAACAACAGACACTGATTGGTTAAACTGTTGTACCACCATCTTGGAAAATAAGCATAACAGGTTCCAGGAGCTTTCGGAAGGGTGCAAAGATCAGCTAAAATAGATATCTACAATGTTCTGTTATTAAATGCTAGCACGTGATGAGAGTGTTTGGTGGAATAGGTTAATAAATTTTGGATTTGGTCGACTGAGAGTATTTTATCCTGTGTGGTCAAATTTTTGTTAGCCTTGCTAATTTTAGGCTTTTGTTTACTTGTAAATGAAACAAATAAAACAGAGCATATAAAAGAATAATTTAAAATAGAAAGGCCGAACAGATGAAAATGATTTCGTTAACATTGCATACGGCAAAAAAAGAGAAAAAAATATCGATTGGTAATAAATGACTATGCATTTAATTACACAACCAATGGATGTGTAGTATTACTTATGGCGAGCATGATTTGTTTCCTTTAATACTTACGACAATCAATAGTAAAGTACAAATTTTAAAAAAAGCATTTATTTGGTTTATTTACGATGATTACGAAAATCAGTGGATGTATATAAAATAAAAACCGAAAAAAATTGATGTGTATGTAATACTTGTAGAAACATCTAGATTATCAAATTATAATGATTTTAACCAGTTGATGTTCGTTCAATAATTATGACAGTCAAGGGATGTTCATCAGTCATAATTATATGTCAATCATTAGATTTGAATTAATTCATAACAGGATCCACTATATATATTGTATATATAATGATTTTATCAATCTAAAATGTACACAGAATAATTTCAGTAACCACTTACATTTAATTCTACATTTAATTATTACAATTACCTATTGATGTTCATAAGATAGTTAAAGCAGTCAATGGATGTTCACCTGGTTATGAGGAGAAAGATATCCATCATTATGAATGAGCCTAATATGAATATGGCAACAAATGAATGAATGATATAACGGTCATCTCAAACATTGGATATGCATATAATACTATTTATACATAAGTAATATACATGCTTAAAGCTATCCTAGGGTGTTCATGTGATAATACTTTAAGCATTCAGTAAAAATGGTTCCAAAGGATATGCATTATATATTTACGGCAACCAATGGATATAATGTAATACTTAAGGCGACAAATGAGTGTTCATATAATAATAACAACAATCAATGGATTTAAAAAAAAAAAAGACTTACGGCAACCGATCAATGTGCATCCAACTTGTCCATTATCTGAGCAGAAACATGTATTACAGCCATCAGTAGCAGGGAAGCTTTCTCCGACGGAATAATACCGACCATTATAAAAACAGCCACCTACCGTGGAAACATGGTCATTAAGCTGTTAACAGCAAATGATTTTTACGCTTTCTTAGAATTTAAAATTTGATATATAAAGCAGAGAGTTTTCGCAGCAAAATTTACAATCAAAATATCTATTTTCCACACTTATTTATCCCAGGATGAAACTATGCCATTCAGTTAACTAAGAGGTGACTAAAAGTCTACTGAAAGATTAGTGAGTGGCATAGCTGTGTCATTTAGTGACCATTCAAGACCTTTTGGTGACCATTTGGTTGACTGAATGGTGAAGATTCATCCTTTGTAAAATTAAGTGAATTTTGTTCAATTAAAAAAAAAACTTTCCTTCAAGTATAAAAGTCCTCTTTTAAGAACGAATGAATTTTCTGCATTAATTGCGAATTTACGAGGAATTTATTTCAAAACAAAATTCAAGCAACATAAAACTTATAAATAGGGCAATGTTTGAGGAAATAAAATAGAAAAGGATAAAAACATTAACAAGAAATGATACTTATGTCTCATTATAATAGTAATTTCCCCATGAGTAGGATCTCTCCACCTTAATTCTATTTTACCTGAGTTTGGTCCGGGTCCGTACACTGGTTTTACACAAGAAGTTCTACAGCCACAACCAAAAGAGCAGCATTTTAAATCTGAAAAAAAAACAAGGCTTGGGAGTGATGGTCAAATATTAACCGATTGAATTGCTTGATCTATTAATTGGTGTATGGTTTTTCTTCTCTTTTCTTTTTGTTTTTATCGAGATGATGATAGATCAATTGAATAATTGAAAAACGGTCAAACTCCCGGTCGACTCACAGTTATAATGATATGAACATTAGGTTTTGTTCGTAAATTTTCATTTTTATTTCGACTTCATTTTACATTGCTTTACCTTACTGATTATTTAGTAATCTATTAAGGTACGATGCAGGTTTACTGCGTTTGATTATTATTAATCTATTTTTCTTTTTTCTAATAGTGATTTAGTATGCAATATTTTTTAAAAAAAAAAAAAAAGAAGAAAATTTACATCGCAATTTTGTTTGTCATTTCACAAAATGCAGAAACGTGTAAGAAAGATTAGCAATATACTGTAAATTTTATATACTGGCCACGAATTGATAATTGCAGATAAAAAATATCATTTTTAGAGTTTCATTAGGATATGACATGCAGATGATAACATGATAATTTCCAATGAAACTCTTAAACCCATATCTTATTTATTATATTAATGATTTGATTTTCGTCCTTATTAAGATTCTATAATTATGTGTACAATAAAGCTTGATCACCTGACCCACACTGCTTGTAAAAAGAAAATGTTTTTAAAAAAGTCATTATTGTCATATAAAGAAATAGCAAACAGAAACATTGTTTATTACAACTCACCATATGAACAATCACTGTCACGTGTACATTGGGTCTGACCAATCGGACAATCACATGTTGTTATACGGTCATCCCGAGGGCATCGTCCGGGTTTCTCCCCCGGGAATCCGTGAAGTCGCCCAGCGTAGACAACACAAGCACCCTGTATGTTATTGTAGTGTAAAAGATAACACTAATGTTATTATATGTTATAACATTATATTATAATAACATTATATGTTAATGTTTTATAAAAGATAACACTGACAACCTATATGTTATTGTATAATAAAAGATAACACTGACAACCTATATGTTATTGTATTATAAAAGATAACACTTACAACATGTATGTTATTGTATTATTAAAGAGAACACTGACAACATGTATGTTATTGTATAATAAAAGAAAACACTGACAACATGTATGTTATTGTATAATAAAAGATAACACTGACATGTATGTTATTGTATAATAAAAGATAACACTGACAACATGTATGTTATTGTATTATTAAAGAGAACACTGACAACATGTATGTTATTGTATAATAAAAGATAACACTGACAACATGTATGTTATTGTATAATAAAAGAGAACACTGACAACATGTATGTTATTGTATAATAAAAGAGAAGACTGACAACATGTATGTTATTGTATTATAAAAGAGAACACTGACAACATGTATGTTATTGTATAATAAAAGAGAACACTGACAACATGTATGTTATTGTATTATAAAAGAGAACACTGACAACATGTATATTATTGTATAATAAAAGATAACACTGACAACTTACACGTTATTGTATTATAACAAAAATAATACTAAAACAAGTCTGTTATTGTATTATAAAAGAAAACACTGAAAACCTATATGTTATTGTATTATAAAAGATAACACAGACAACCTTTAAGTTATTGTATTATAAAAGATAACACTGACAGCATGTATGTTATTGTATTATCAAAAAAAAAATACTAACAACATGTATGTTATTGTATTTTAAAAGATAACACTGACAACATGTATGTTATTGTATTATAAAAGATAACACTGACAACATGTATGTTATTGTATTATAAAATATAACACTGACAACCTATATGTTATTGTATTATATAAATAGTGAAATAACTCAGGGATCAACCACAAATATCCAAGAACAATACAGTTACAGAATGGATAAAAACACAGAGTCCTGAAAATACAATTAAATCAGGTCTCTCAAGACCTTAAACTTGAAAGATACTCCAGGCAAAGTACAATTTTTGAATTTCTTGATATTTTTTTAGGAAACATGTTTTACAAAGATTTGTTTTCAGATCTATTTCAAAATCTATACTTCTCTGAAAATTTGTCCTTTTTTTTTTCCTTCAGTTTTTGACCAGAGTGTACAAGCCGATTCTTAGTTCTTCAGGCTGTTGTTCACTTTTATCTTATCAAAAATTTAATAATTATATCAATTTTATTTAATTCTTTTTCCTATAAAGATGTATCTTAACTTACCAAGAAAATGAAAAATCCTTGCAATGTCCCCATTATCAGGAGTGCTTTAAACATCACAGGTCCTGATGTTTGATAGCTGTAGCAAGGATTGGCATAAAATATACAAATCACATCAACGTGGCCCCAATGTCATCAGCATGTTACCACTGGTTTTTACAAGGTTTTCATGGAGAGGGTAATCTTCTTTATTTCCGTTAATAACTTGTTTTACTTTAGCATAAATTTGTTGACTTTATGCTTCATTTATTAGGTTATTGAAATTTCTTACACGATTAAAACGTAACTTTGGAAAGATCTCTGTGTTATCGAAATCGGGCGTCTCTATGCTCACTTAACTTGAAAATAGTCATTTAATAAATCATCATCATTTCGGTGAGTAGTAATTAAATTTATTATTTTAATAATAATACCTCCTAATTAATTAATTAGGAGGTATTAACTAATTAATTGTAATTTCTTTAGAAAAAAAAATATTTTCTAAAGAAATTACAATGTGGATTTTAATTTATCTACTACAATTAGCAATCTTTTGTTAATTAATATTTTCATCTGTTTGTTCATGTACAATCAGTCTATCTATCTATTTACACATTTATTAAAAATCATAGGCGTCGGAAGCAAATTGAAAGTGGGGTGGCTAATTGAAAGTGGGGGAGGGGGCTAACGAAAAAGGTAAGCCCCAATTTTCAATGCCTATATTATGTCTATCTTTGCAAAAATAGGGGGGCTAAGCCCCCCCCCCAGCCCCCCCCCCCCTCGGTTCCGACGTCTACGAATATAGCTAATACAACCTTTCTGTCACAAGAATATCGTTATATGGGTTTTTCAAATCCAATATTAATGATAACTAATTCCTCAAAATTATGTTTCTTACACTTACAGAAGAATAAATTTTTACATCAGACGAATAAAATGCAAATAAGACACTAAGATTAAAGACAGAGGTTTTTTTTCATATTTTAAACTAATTTCTGAGTGCCTCACGTTTCTGGAGTCTTTTTACACACATTTTCTAAATGAACAAGCATTCCGAGAGTATTGCATTAGCAATACTAGTCCCCTACCGGCATAATCTGGTTCCCGTTAAAAATTGGAAATGCCATTATTCCGTCAAAAATCATTGAAGTGGAAGGAAATGCAAACTTGATCTGTAACTCATCAAGATACACTCACATACCAAAAATCAGCTCAATATCTGCAAGCGTTTAGGAAAAAAAGGGGGAAAACCAAGTGGGACAGACTGACAGACAGACAGACAGACTCAGAGGAAACCTATATTCCCCTCCGGTTTCACCGGTAGGGGACTAAAAAGGTGAAGATAACAAACAGTTATCGATTTCAAAAAATCTACAAACAATACATATCTGTGAACAAGGCATAGAACACGGACACCTTGAAGTTCCAGAGTGCCTAGGAGAGGTCAGCATCCGCTGTTGATCGGTCACAACCGCCGTGAGCTCTATGTATTGATCAGGTGGACAGAAAACCCGTAGCTAAATTTAGTATAAAAACAAATGTCTTATAATTGGTTTAAAAATTAGCTTGTCAAACATAATGAATTATCATAATCTAAAAGTCTGTATGCAGAAAAATTGGTTAAAGCACAGATTCCTAAACGCTTTAGTAAAGGGAAAAACTTAGAATTAACCACTTTTATTTCATATAGAATAAAAGATGTGAAAATTTCCGAGTTTCGTTGTTTATTGGAGAAGCAGTTGTCTATAATATCGAAAAGTCTAGATTTTTAATCCATCTTGAGGAGTTGTATAAAGTGTGAAAAATACGTACGTTTTGATGTTATAGGCTTTAAACTTTCTAAAAGTTCTTTAGGGTTTTTGAGGATTTACTCCACTTTTAGAATATACTTTAGCAAAATACGTCTGAAGTTTCTCCTTTTCAACAGTTAATATTTTTCTAAGGAGTAAAGATACGGGTTTGGTAGAGCATTTGCTGGACCCAGCAATGTATCTTTGTTTGTAAGGATTTTTATGATGCAAAGGAATGTCAAGGTATCGTCTTAATTTATCTTGAGAAATGGTTTTATTGATTTATTGTATGTTGTTTTATGTGCCGTTGGAGATTATTTCATTCATGTAAAGAAGTTACCATATACCGGTGAAGGGCTTGAAATTCAGACCTTTCCTAAGCACTTGGGGCCATTGAGCAGGAAGGGATCTCACTATTATCATTGCACAGGGAGTTTGTGTCTCAGTATTTCCAAAACTGACTGATTGATTTGATTGTACATGTATGTTGTTTAATGTCCCTCTCGAGAATTTTTCACTCATGTGGAGACGCCACCACTTGCCGGTGGAGAGCTGCAAATTTTGTCTAATACTCGGCACTTACGGCCATTGAGCAGTGAGGGATCTTTTTCGTGCCAGCACCTATTGCGACACGGGACCTCGGTTTATACGGTCTCATCCGAAGGACCGGTCTCCACGTCCCACAGTGGGATTCGAACCCGCGACGTAAGGGCCAACTCCTTACTTCGCGACTCTAGAGCAGACGCTCTAACCACTGCGCCACGCGGGCGACTCCAAAACTGAAGAGCATGCACTACGTACATGTACGAAGAATTTCTCAAACGAGGCACGCTATTGAAAAATAAGTTAATAAAACAAGAATATCAATAGTCCTATGAAAGTCAACGTTTCGTTTATGGTCAATACAATGACATTGTCATCAAAGACAATCTGTCATTTTGGAAAATGTTGATCGAGGTTTTTCATACACATTGTTAGGCCATTATTTTCAGACTAATTTGTCCACATTTTTTTTCCATTTTCCGATTATGACAAGGAGCACACGATAGGTGGATCCGGTCGACAGGGGATGCTTACTCCTCCATGGCTCCTTATCCCACCTCTAGTGTTTTAAGAGGTCCCTGTTTGATATGCTCCAAGTTTGTATTCTTCCCATGGATTTTTAAGGTTGATTTCTGTTCGTTATCTTTTCTATCATTGTGTAAATGAAAAGGGGACGTTAACAGTGATAATTTGATGTCCTGTAAACAATACGAAACATGATCAGGGTGGACCTCTGGAATTTACAAAAGTGCCCTGAAAAGTAATCGAATAAAAATAATGCTTCTAATAAGAGATTATAAATGACAACAATTTTGTCAACAATTATCAAAAATTTATAACTCCTTCCACTTACTTGGATGTATTCTAGTCCCAAGAATCAATCAATTGCGCATTAGTTATATCCCTTGTTTGACAACATGTAAGCGCATCGTCATTTCTGCTCGTTTTAATTTAGTGATTTGTTAAAACACGGCATTGTCATAAAATGTGTTTCTGATTTTTCTTTTCCTTTCATAAACTGTACAGTTCGTTTTTAAAGAATCATTACTCGATAAACAGAATTATTTATAAACCAATCCAGTAATGAACAATCAATTTAAACGAAGCTAGGATTAACAGAAAAAAATGCCTGAGATCACTGAGTGTGACTGAAATCAAATTGGAACGTTTTAATCTAAAAAGAAAATTCAATTTTTATACATTTATATAATTGATAGTACTTTCATAAGAGGTTAGATTTTAGGTATATGATAAAAAATAAAACTTTGAACGAACATGAAATATGAAGATATGGAACAGTTATCATGCCCAAAAGTCTATCTTAACAATTCAAATTAGGAGCGAAGCAAGCACGGACCTCTTAAAACGTGGGAGGTTGGATATCAGGTGCCATGGAAAAGAGAGCGTTCTTTGTGCTCCTTTTCTTGATCGCATAAACGGAAAAAAATTCAGTTTGTAAAAAAAACAACAACAAAGAACCAGAGCTTTAAAAAAAAAAAAAAAAAAAAAATAAGCTATCCTTTAAGTTTTGAAGTTGAAGATTCTGTGTCTGGCAAAATCACAAGAGGGGTCTTAGTTGTTGGAAATGACTGATATGCCTTCACAAGGTCTACTCACTTCAGAGAAATACAACCGTTAAAAGTATACATTGTATACTCGAAATGTTATACTATAATGAAATTAAGGGTTTTAATCAAAATAAAATTATGAAAACAATTAAAGTTCGTCAGCTTTTGGGAAAAAATTGGTCAGAACCTCATAATTATTTAACACAATTCAATTTTTTCAACATATATGAATTAAACGATGCAAAAATATTCAATTTAAAGACTGTACATAAAATATTTATTGGGGACTATTTCTTGCGGTGGAAGGATATTTAGAAGAAAATTCTTCAAATCTACACATCTGTTTGATTTAATATATTGGAACTTTAGCCATACATATTTATACTCGGACATTTTTGTTCGTTATTGTATGCTAGGAATATTAAATATAGGTTTCAATTTATATTTTAAAAACAAATTCTCCATATTCAATCAACTGTCCTTGCCAAAAAATGAAGATATGTTTAAGAAGTCATGTTAAAATTTACAGTTTTTTCCGCCTGAAAATCGCATATTTTGACCAGTATCTCAGAATTAACATCACTGGCCCCAACTTTTTCTTTCATTTTTTAAACTGCACGATACATTCAATCGATCAGCAGTCAAGTCATAAAAAGCTTGACACAAGATTGCCTGTTTAGATTTTTGATACCCAAAATATTTTTTTTCAGTGCAAAAAGGTCACACAATACTGTGCGCTCATTAGTTGGCAGGATTTTTATCGATGCTTAATATTATTCAAGCTATTTTACATAAAAGAAAATTATGTTTATTTTCATGATTACATTCGGCAAAATATTATAAAGTTTAAAGTTTTAACCTAAGTTACAATTTGAGTGCAAAAAAGTAAAGTTATTCGTACACTTGCTCAGTAAGATGCACATTGACCGCTAGTTTTCTTTGCGATTTTCAGTCATGCTATAGGAGTTATTTCCTAAAATAAACTTTTATCATTTACTTATAACTTATATCATGATTACAGAAAGGAAACATCACATAAATGTCCATTTTGCACAAAAACCCAAACGGTTTACAGCTTTCTTCAAATGTTTAAAATTCATAATTATTGTATAAAAGTTTCACCTGCCAAAAACAAGGACCAGTCGAAAACCAAAAAACTAAGGCGATGATAACTAAATATCGAGAGAGAGGGGGGAAGAGAGAAAAAGAGGGAGGGAGATAGGAAATCTTAAATTGATGATGTTGAAATATGCAAGGAGTCAATTACCATGCTTTTCAAAAGAATAACCACTTACAATGCAATTTCAACTGTAGACGATAAGGCCGTCTCTTGAGGAACTAGAGCCCATTATATATTTGATATTAAACATACATTTTATGGAGTCGTACTAAAACTATAAAGTAAGTCGACAGACAAAGATTGAACTTGAATTTGCCACAAATGATATCTCAGTAGAAAGGAACACACGATGACCGGTCGGCAGGGGAGCTCACTCCTACAGGACATCTGGGGTCACGTGTAGCAGTAGGTACTAGGAAGAAAAAGATCCCTCACTGCTCAATGGCCTCGAGTGCCGAGCATAGGTCAAAATTTGCAGCCCTCCACCGGCAATATGAGTGAAAAATTCTGGAAAGGGACGTTAAACAAAACAAACAAACATACACTAGAATACGAAAGGGATATATGACGATTATATTTGTCTATCTCTGTTGAATGAATATAAATAAGAAAATTTGTTTTTCACTCGAGAATTATTAGAGATAAGACCTTGATTTAAGACATATCTTTTAAACATACTATTAGTCTCTTAGGGTTGTTATGCGTCCGATCATTCAATCTTGTATCAATCTTCTTTTTTTTCATTTATTTTGGATGCCTTTTAAAAGCAATGATAACATTGAATGCATACTTATATTTTTTTCTTATTACTCTAAGTGGTGGAAGTTGGGGTTCTCGGAGAAAACTTGTTCCATATTGATTTTGAAGATAATGCAACCAATCAATTTTTGTGAAGATTTGCGGAGTTTTACTATGACGTAATTTTTCTGTTCGGTTATAAGGATATATAGATAGCATAGAAAAAGACAACGTATTTAGATATGAACTCGTCGAGTAGTTTTTCAACTTTCAATTTTAACATGATTGAATAT